ACACGCGGGACTCCCCGCCCCAGGACGTGATGGAAACTAAAAGGGATAAATGGCTTAAAAAAGAGTTTTAGAGGAATTAATGGAATACAGTCCGTCCCGGATCCTTTTACACAGCTGCTGCTTTCCAGGAGGTAGTCCCCCAGCCCATGAACATGCCCTAAATCCTTCACTCCTACACACCGAACCACATCATCTGCCTGAACCCTTCCACCAAACCTCCCCAATGCCCCTACCAGGGGGGCAGGACCCCCAAGTTCCCCCCCAGCCTGGCGTGCTCAGCATCGCCCGGCCCCTTGGAGGTGCCCCAGTGCTGTGCCTCTGTTGAGGATTACATGCTGAGATATCCCAGTTAGCCAGTTTTTAATTAGCGTGTGTCATGTTGATTTTATATCATTTTAATTTCCTAGTCAACGTGCCATGTGGTACCAAGTCAAACATCTTACAGAAACCAAAGTCTACTGCACGTTCAGTGCCAGGGCTGGGAGGTATTTGGGGAATCTAATATCCTAAGGCAGTTAGGGCCAGAAAAAGAAAACCCAACATGCTAATATAATCATCAAATTGCAAAGGATGATAAATACCACGAAAGAAAATAGGCAACGTGAGCGGGCAAAAAGATTTCCCATAGAAAGCTAACGCAACCCCCTCCCTCTGCCTCGATGAACTGCCTATTAGCTCTGCTCTGCCCTCCGAAGCCTTAATTCCTACTCGGGATTCCTTTCCCCATCTGCAAACCTAGATGTAATTAATGAGAGCAAGGCGGCTACTTCTTCCAACTCCAGGCTTGGGTTTAATCATGCTTGTTTATGGTAGAAACCAATTAAAATAGCCACCAAATTAGGCAAAACTTGGCTTTAGCTCACAGCATGGCAATGCAACACGGGGTGCGGGAGCCAGCACTCATTAAGGGGTTGCTTCCCCATGGGACAATCCATAAATCCGGGTGTTTCAGCAGCAAATCTTTGCTGGTTGTACAAAGGGGATGTTGACTTTTGTCTTTTACGGGATTTAGGATTTTCTTCCGGCGAGGTGAAGGCAAAGGCAGTGCCTTCGCAGCGACGCACACAGCCACAGCGAGCACAGGCGCTTATTTAAACAGTTATATGCTATATTGTTTAATAGAAGTTACAATAGGATAAATGTACAGTCGAAATCAACATGCTAATTTCTAACGCAATTTAACCTGTAAACCATGCAGTCCATTTTTTAATCAGTCCATCTCTTTTTTTTTCTTTTAATCAGTAGCTCTGCTAGTGAGTTTTAAGGAAAAAAAAAAAGTTCCCTTTAAAGTTAAACCTAATTTACTAAATTTTCCCCTTATTGTGCAATGACTTGTGCAAAAAAAGCTGTTTTCACCACATTAGTTTACAAAATCACATCCTTCCCCCCCAGAAAAAAATGAGAAAAGGCAACACAAGCAGCCAGTGGACAGGGAGGGATGGGGATGAGGGCGCGGGTGTGTTTTCATGTCAAAATAAAATCAGAAGGATGAGCGAAGGCAGAAAGCAACTCGGTGCGGACTGGATTCCAGAAGCACGACCCCAAGTTGCCCGTGGAGGTTTTGGGGTGCTGCCCCCCGAGCCGGAGGAGCTGCAGGTGGGATGGATGCTCGCTCCGGCCAAAGCTCCCCCAGCCTGGCCCTGAGCACCCAGCGTGGCCCCGGGGGCAAGAGAGGGGCTTTAGACCAGAGCAGCAGCAGCAGCAGCAGCAGCAGCAGCAGCCAGCGCCGCACAGCACTTTCGAGAAGAAAAAGCGGCAGCAGAAGCAGCAGCCGCCAGCATCTTTGGAGGTGAAGCAAATCAACCAGTCCCCAGGCCACAGCCTGAGCCCCCCCTCTCCATCCCCTGTTTTTGGGATGAATCCCGCCCAGAGCACGGTGTATTTGGGTCGCTTCCCTCAAACACACAACTTCCCCAGTTGACAGCTGAGACGGGTCCATCTTGAAGTCATTCGCGATGAGATTTATTTGTGAGTTGTGTTCCCTTCGAGCTCCCCAGCAGCGCGATAAACACACGAGTCGCGCTGGTGGGGAACACACGCGGGGTCTCTGGGCACCACGGAGCCCTAGGAAATGGGGCGCAGAGACCCCCGCATCCCCGCGGCATCCGGGGATGGGACGTGCATCCAGCCGGGGCGTGGGAGGGTGGTTCGATGCTCCAAACCACTTGATGCTCCAAAACAGCACCAAACCCAACCCAGAATTAAAGGGAAAAGCCAACTGGAGGCGTGGCGGAGAGGTAGGAAACAACCAAGGGCAAAGATGTCTCTGCCTGGGGTTTGAATACTGGTTTGAAGGGATGCTGGAGGGACAACTACCGCAAACCTCCCTCACCTGCCACTTCGCATCATCGCTACCTCGGGGGGTAAAAGATTTTACCCTAAAACCAGCTTCAGCGCAGGAGGTGCCGACGGCAGCTGATGCCACCGGAGTGGCCCCGGCTCCATCTCAGCCTCCGCTTTCCACGCTGCTTCCCAGCATCTTGCAAACAGTTTGGGGCCAGCATGCAAACGCCCACGCCTTCTGCCCAAGCAGCCATTTTCGTAGCGGCACAAAAGCAGCCAATTTTTAAGAAAACAAAACCAAAACAGCCCCTCGAACAAAGCATCAGCCAGCTTCTCCCCTCCCATCAGAGCCTGGAGTTGCGGTTGGATGTAGAACAAAGTGCAAAATTGCCAAGAGCATCTGACTTGAACTCCAGCCCTAGGAATAAAAAAACACCGAGAAAAATCTCCTCTTCTCTCGCACACACATGCACACGTGCTGATGTCTAACGGAGGCTGTCCCCCTCATGTATAGGTACGGTTTGGGCTGCAAGTTAGCGCATTAGAGCCCTTATATAAAATTATTCCCAACCCCTGGGCTGCCCTGCAGAGCCCCTGAAGATTATAAAGAAGATAAGATGTGTGGATGCTTCTCAGGAAGCCAAACTTGTCCTTTTTTGTTATTTTTTTTTTTTTTCCCCCCACTGGTGCTGAAATGTGTTTGTCGGGTAGGGGAAGGGGGGGGGATAACCCAGTCTCTTCCACAGCCACTGCTTAAAAGAAAACTAAGGAAGGTATGTATGTATGTACACGGAGGTGTTAATAGCAGCATTATTTGTTTTGGGGATTGCAAATCTTCGATTACTGCAGCAGGTTCTGCCCCTGTTTCCCACCCCCGCCTTATAAATTTATAGCAACAACCTTTCCCTCATAAGCAATACCATCCGTACCGGAGGATACCAATCATTAGTAAGAGATTTAGAGGGGATTTTAAATGTCTTCCAGGGTTTTTTAAGCAATCTGTTTAAAAGATTAATTTTATTTTGAAGGGATGGAACTGCATCTCTTGGAACAAAAAGTTAATTAGGACCAGAGCACCAAAATGCCATTTTTCATCCCGTTCTGTGACTTGCGGTTAGGCGCTTGACCTCCCGAAATCAGAAACTCGCTGAATCTCTCCCTTGGCCGAGTTTGACTTCCCCAGCAGCAAGTCCTGAGCGCCAGAAGCCGGTTTGCAGGATCCCAATCCCGGCCTCTCCGAGCAGAGCTTAAAGGAGCGAGGAAATCCATCCATCCATGGCAATGCCATGTCGCTCCTCTTTTAACTAAAGCTTGGTGGAGACGGGTGGGAGAGCCCAGATGCAGGATGGGGAAGGCTGGGAGCTGGCTGGAGCATCTCAAACAAGGTCTTGTCCCAAGATCAGCTGCTTTGGGGTTTTTATGTAGGCACCCCTTCTGCAACGCAATGTAGGGATCACCCCTTGGGGGAAAAAAATGGAGTTTCAAGGCGGTGGCAGGAGCTGGAGGCTTTTTTCCGCTCGCACCGACAGCAGCACAAAGCCCCTTCGCCGTGTCTCGGGGACTGGAGGCGATGCTGCCCGACAGCGCTTGCTCCTCCTCCCTTCATCCTGCACCTAGCATGGAGGAGAGAAAAATCATCCCAGCTGCGAAGCACCGCCTCGCCCGGCAGCAAAGCCAGCGGCTGACAAAAGCGATTAAAAATTGTGTTTGACAGTCTATCCTCCCCCTAATAAAAACTGGAAATGCCGGAGTGCCTTATTTGTCATGCTCGCTGATGCTCAGTGACGCCGTTGCCAGCATCTGTAGCAGCTTGATTCTGAAGGATTTTAAAGTGCTTGTTACTATTTAATGGCCCTTAACTGAAGTGCCCTGTGGGTTGAAGCTTCCCCTGTTGCAGTCACCATCGGATAGCCGGGTTTTTTTGTTTCGGTCTCCATCCTCTGGGTAGGAGCTCAGGTCTGATGCTTGAACCAGCCGATCCCACCTGTTTTTGCACCCCCTTCGCATTCTTGTCCCCGCGTCTCTCCCACGGTGGCACCGCTGAGGGATGGGGAGGAGGAATAAAAGTGTCCTGTGGTCCTGCGGGTCACAGGACACGTCGTGTCCGGAGGGCTCTCCCATCGCTGCCAGGACCATAAGGACCAGTCTGGTTCCTTTCCCCAGCAATTTGGCAAGGAAGAGTTTCCCATCGGAATCCGGCAAGCCGGGCAATTTTTCCTTCTCAGTTGTGCAGGATTTGGGATGCCAAGATTGAGCTGGGGACCCCCTGGGGCTCACAGGGGCCGTGGCGAAGCCCCCAGGCTGGTTCACGCTCAGGTCCAGCGTTTTGGAGAGCAGGAAAAAGGTCGCCAGCGGGGAACGGACCGAGTTCATTTTCAGTTGTCCCTCTGAAAGCCTTTGCTGGGTCATATGTAGATGTATTTACGAAGATGATCTCTTTCTGGCCATGCTAACACCGACTTTCATTCAGCTGCTTTTCTCCTCCATCCTTCTTACATGTACTTCAAAGAGGCGTTAAGAAGAAAGTAACCTCTGATCCCTCCCCCCCCCCCCCCCCCACACCCAGGCAGCAACCCCTCGCGTCCCACCCCAAAACGGGGCAGCAACCACTCGCGTCCCACCCCACCACACGGGGCAGCAGCCAC